ACAGTCTGGCTCCTGGAAGGGCCACCACCCAGCCGAGGTGCAGAGGCAGCCCCCAAGCTCAGGTCCTTCCACAAACCACAGGGCTGCCCCGGGTCAGAGCCACAGGCCAGCCTTTGGGGTGGGGGGCGGGGGGGCCGAGACCTGGTAGGCTCTGAAGCCGGGTGGTCTGGGTCGGAGCCCTGACTCTCCTGTCGGAAAGCAGGTCTGGTCTGGGCAGAGTGGCTGTACCCCCGTGTGACCCCGAGCCCTCTGGGCTGCTTCTGCGGGATGGGGACGGGGACAGGGGCCTCCTCGCCTGTGCTCGCCGTGCACAGGCGAGGCTGACTGCCGAGGGCTCTGGCGCGGGAGGCAGAGCTGGGGCCTGGGGCGCCGGCGGCGTGGCCTCCTGGGCTGGGCCCCACACCCTGGGACAGCCCAGCAGGGAGAGGGATGCTGGCCCCTGAGGCTGACAGGCTTGCCTCTGCCCTCAGGGCTATCGGCCCCACAGGTAAACTGAGGCCAACGGACACAGCAGAGGCAGGGCCTGGCCCCAGACCTCAGTTCTGTCACCACCGCAGAAGTGGATCCTGAGCCCCCTCCTTTGTCCCCTGGGGACCCATCAGGGGGCTGTGAGACCTAAACAGACATTTAAATCATGTAAATACGCAAAGGCTGGATTCTCTCCTCTGGTTCCTCACAGACGTCGGGGGGCAGAATCGAGCCCCGGTGCGGTGTTTGTTCTGGAAATAACGTGTGTGGGTTGTTTGCCAGAATAAATTAGTCTCTGTCCTGATGCTGCATCTGCAGTGATAGCCTGACCCCCGTGGGGGACCCCTCCCCGAGGAGACGATTACAGAAGGGAAACTGAGGACAGAGCAGGAAGTCACCCCCGGGACGGGACGGAAGGGGGTGGCTGGCCCACCCAGCACAGGGTGGCAAGGCCGTGGCCGTGAGCGTGGCTGGGGCTCAGGTTCACGTCTCCCGCCCCGTCGTGTGCAGTGAGCCAGCAGCTTGACCCCCGCGAGGGGCTTCAGTGTGGCAGGAGGGAGCTGAGCCTCAGTCACCCCTCTGCGCGCAGGGGAGGGACCTCCTGCCAGCTGTACCAGACCCTTAGCTGGAGCTGGGCTCTGCGTCCCGTCACCCCTGCTGCTCGGCAGCCACGAAGAGCAGGCAGATGGGAGGCTGCCAGGGAGGCCGCCGCTGCCTGGAAGCCCACCCAGCTGTCACTGCTCCCGTGTCCCCGAGAGGCCTGGGGGTGGAGGCTGCACCTGCTCATCCCTGCCCAGGTGTGACCACTGAGCCACGAGTCCAGAGACCGGGGTGCTCACGGCCCCACGCCTCCCGCCTCCCGCCTCCCGGGGTGGTTGGGAGGCGTCTCCACAGCTGCCACGGGCCGTCTGGCTCTTACGGAGGCTGCATGAAAACCAGCGCATCTCCCTGCCGGCTCCTAGCCCCGCCCAGCGCCTCCCACCCGAGGCCCCTCGCCCGCACCCATTCACTCTCGGCCTGGGTCTGTGCCGTGAGGTACCCAGTGTTGCCGGAGCAGGTGCTCCTTCGTTCTCTGATGCAGGCTTACTTTTGCTCAGGAGAGAGGGTCTCTGGTAGATGCTAACTGGGCTCTGATACCCCTTGACCCTCCTCCGCTACGCAAGGGGTGGGACAGGAACTGTGCTGGAAAGACGTTATCTGAGTAGTTGGGTGTTGAACGTCACCAGGGCCGCCATGTACAGTTGCACAGGTTGTGTACTTCCTAATGCACCCTTCCAAACGCTCGGCCCCTCAGAACCAGCCCCCCTGAACCAGGGAGGTGGGTTGTTATGGTGACTGTTGCCCTATCCACAGCCCAGGCCTGCTCACCTCTCCCAGGCCTCGGCCGGCCCCCAGCAAGCCGAGTGGTGGCTTCTGCCCCCCAGGCGTGCAGAGTGGCAGGCTTTATCGGGAGCCAGCCCTCCCTCTGGCAGTGCATGATACCCGGACGATGGAGTGGCTGCTGTGGGAAGCGCCAGCCACGCTGTTATCTGGGAGGCTCGGCCTGCCGGCCCTGGGGCTCCGATTAGGGTGCCCGGGGGGCGGGGCACAGAGGCACCCTGGCTCTGCTCCTTTCCTCCGGCATCGCCAGGGCTGGGGGCCCCGAGAGGGAACCCTCAGAACCGCGCAGGTGCGAGAAGCCACGGACAGCCTGGGAAGCCGGGTCGGCCCCCCTCCTCCTCTGCCTTTGGGGACCCCCAGGCCAGCCACCCCCGGGCTGGACCCTGAGCGCCTCCTCCCACGGGAAGGTGGGCCCTCAGTCTCAGTTGGAAGGCGTCACCTCATAACGGGAGGGGGGGCTCCGGGCCCAACAAGGGCCAGGGATGGGCTCCGTCCAGATGTTCTGGACACCCGCGGGGAAGTAGGTGCGAGCAGGAGGCACAGCCACCATCCCTGCCTCGTCCGTGGCCCCAGCAGAAGTGAGGTGCAGAGAGACGTCGCTGTCCAGAGCCCACGGGCAGGCCGGCCTGCGGTTTCTGGCTGTCTGGATAGGGGCAGGCCGCATCAGGGTTCTGGATGACTCCCCCCCCACCCCCGCTGTGACCCGCTCCATGAGTATGGGAGGGGGGGTGCGGGGCACAGGCTCAGTCCGTCGTGGGCTCTGACCCTTCGGCTGACTTGACAGAAGAGGAGACGGACAAACGAGACCCAGCGAGCTCGCCTTTAGATGGCCTTGTACTCTCTCCCTCCCCACACGTGCCATCCTGAGGACCGGCCAGCGGGGGCACCAGAGACCCAGACAGGCCCAGGACCCAGGGGGCCGGGACCCCGGGTCAGCGTCCAGAGCAGGGACCCAGGGGGCCGGGACCCCGGGTCAGCGTCCAGAGCAGGGACCCAGGGAGCCGGGACCCAGGGTCAGCGTCCAGAGCAGGGACCCAGGGAGCCGGGACCCTGGGTCAGCGTCCAGAGCGGGGCGTCCTGCTAGCTGCAAGGTCTCTGGGGCCTCAGCACCCTCATCTCTGTGGGGGGCGACTCATTGGAGACAGCCGACTTCATTGGCTCTTTGGAGCAGGCGTGGGTGACTGTGCTGGCCAGACACACCCTGTGGGACCAGGCGGGTGGGGTGTGGGCAGAGCCCTGGGCTAGGACCCGGGTGTCCTGGATGGACTGGCAGGGGACACGGCCCCTTGTGGGTGAGCTGCAAAGTGACCGCGCCAGCCTCTGCCCCCCCCCCCGGGGGGCTGATAAAGGGGCGCCGGCCGCCTCAGCCTCGTCCTGGCCCCCTGGCATCTTATCTGCCCCGGGGAAGACAAGGACCCAGTTAGAACATTCTAGCCGGGCCTCCTGGCGTATTTGCACGTTATCTCTGCCATTAGGCTGGCAGTTATCTGATAATCGGGCCCATTAAGGCCACAGCCTGCCCGATCGGGGCTCCAGGAAGTGGGGCCGTGGCCGCAGCGCTCGCCTGGGGACCCGGCCAGGCCATGTGAAGCCTCTGTGGCCGAGGCAGCCCAGCCGGCCTCCGAGGCACAGGGCGCCCGCCTTCCTGGGCAGAGTGTGTGGACCCGGGAAGGGCCTGCCCTCTGAGGGCGTGGCCACCCCCCTCGCCTTGTCCCGAGAGGACACCGACGCCCGGGGAGGGCAGGTAGCGTGCCAGGTGTGCGTCTCCCAGGGCGGCCCTGACAGACGTATACGCCTTGGGGCCTTGAGACATCAGAAATCGCTCCCTCTCAGCGCCGGGGCCAGAAACCCCGCTCGGGGGGCCAGGGCTGCGCCCCCTCCGGAGGCCCGGGGGATGGTCCTTCCTGCCCCTCCCGGCGCCCCAGGCGCGCCCTCCTCCTGACCCATCACCCTGGTCTCTGCCATCTTCGTGGGTCCTCCTCCCTGTCTCTTCCGTGGGTCTTTTATAAGGACATTTGTCACTGGATGTTAGAGTCCCATCAGATAATCGAGCTCTGACCTAGGTCTCATCTCGAGCTCCTGACTTGGTCACATCGGCAAAGACCCTGTTTCCAAATAAGGGTACGTTCCCGGGTTCCTTAGCGGGTGTAGCTTCTGGGGGCCGACGTTCAGGCACTGTTGAAAGTCACGTGGCCCGTGCAGGGGGCCAGGCTGAGCCCTAGTCCTGCCGGAGTGAGAATGACAGTCTCAGGGGCTCACAGCAGAGGCCCGTCTGTCTGTGTCAGTGTAACAGAATGCTGCTGGGGGCCGTGCCACGGGAGCTGCAGGAGCACCCCCCCCCCCCCCCCACCCCATGGCATAGGCAGCTGTAGCCCCTGAACGTCTCACACCGTCGGCTCGGAGAGGCAGCAGGACCCGGCCCAGACCTTTCCAGAAAGCAGGTGGACCCTTGATAAATGAGCAGAAGTTGGCAGAGGAAGACACTGGTGTTTGAAGTGGGGGGGCAGCTTCTGGGGTCCCCGCCAGGCCCTGTCGCTGCTGCTCTGCAGGCACTGAGCGGTGCCAACACCAGGGCCACCCAGGTGCAGAGTCTGGCTTTGCTGAGCCTTCTGGGGGGAGAGCCTGGTGCTTTGACTTGGTTTCCCCGCCGCAGGCCCTGCGCTGAGGGGGCTGCGAGTCTAACGTGGTCAAGCCTCACGCAGCCCCAGGAAGTACTGGGGTCCCCGTCTCCGAGAGGTGGAAGTCGCCGCCCAGCACTGTGCCTCACGGGCTTGCTCTGTGGATCTGGGGGGCTCGATCTAATGGGGGCGGGGGGGCGGGCTGTGCGGAGGGACCGGAGGCAAGCCGGGGGGACGTCACGCCCTCTGCTCTGCGCCCTCCCCGACGCAAGCAGCAGGGATGGCGTCCAGGGCGTGGGAAGGTTCCGGCACCACCCTGTGCCGCCTGAGGCACGTGTCCGGACGGCCGTGGTGCACCTGCGGCCTCCCAGGCGAGGGCCGGCTGCAGGGGCTGGCCCGGCCCCCGGGACTCAGGCCCAGGCCTCCCTCCTCCGCCTGCAGCCCCGCGGCCGCCCCTGGGGACCCTGGGGGGCGGCGGGGCTGGGTGGTCCCCTCCGCGGGGCCCGCCCGCAGCCCTGACGTGTCTCCCCGCAGGTGAGCTGGAGCCGGCGCTGCAGGACGGGCGGAGGTGCGTGCGGGCTCGGCGCAGCCTCCCTGAGGGCCTGTCCTGGGGCCCGTTCCGCGGGAGCATCCGGAGCAGAGCCTCGTCCCCTGGGCAGGTGGAGCCGGTAAGGAGCCCCGACCCCAGCAGCCCAGCCCCCACTGCAGGGCGAGTCAGGCCCGGGGCGCAGACCCCCTTCTGCCCGGGGAGCCGGGTCCGGGTTACCCCCCAGCCTGGCAGCGCCCAAGATGGGAGCCTGAGGTATTGGGACCAGGAAGGCGGGAAGGGGCAGAGGGAAGGCTTCCTGGAGGGGGAGTTCTTAATGTGGGCCCTTGATGGATGAGTAGAAGTTGGCAAAACAGACGGGGAAGCTGGTGTGTGAAGTAGGGGGGGTGACAGGGAGCTAGGGGGGGATCGGGACCTGGCCTTCGTGGGCGGGCTCATGAGGCGGTTCCGTGGGAGCCTGGGGACCCCTGCGGCGGAGGCCTAGACGCAGGCTCTAGGGCGTCCTCCAGACGGCAGCAGAGGGCGTCCCCCTCCCGGTGCTCTCTGACCTCCCTCTCTAACCAGGTCCCCCCGCCCCCGGCACCGAGACACCAGCTCCCCCAGGCCGTGTCGTCTGCGTCATCCTGCAGGGGCACACAGGTCCCTAAAGATACATTTCGGGGGCGCTGGATGGCATGGTCAGTTCAGGGTCCGTCCAACTCTTGGTCTCAGCTCAGGTCTTCGTTGTTGTTTATTTACTTATTTTGAGAGAGAGAACGAGTGAGCAGGGGAGGGGCAGAGAGACGGGGGGAGAGAGACAATGCCAAGCAGGCTCCACCCTGTCAGCACAGGGCCCGACACAGGGCTCGAACTCACGAGCCGTGAGATCATGCTCTGAGCCGAAATCAAGAGTTGGGCGCTCAACTGAACTGAACCACCCAGGCGCCCCTTTCTCCGCTTGGGACTTACCTCAGGGTGGTGAGTTCAGCCTGTATTAGGCGTGGAGCTGACTTAAAAACCTATATGCACCTTGGTTAGGAAAGGGCATGGCGGTGCGGGCCCACTGGATATGTTTGCGGCAGCAGGACGGGCAGCGTGTGGTGTGCCGGGCACCGGGAGGGGCCTGGCCGAGACGCTGCTCGGGGAACACCTCCAAGCCCTACTGCTACTTGTCTGGAAGGCCCGGAGGCCCACTGGGTCGGTGCCCCCAAGCCCAGGCTCTTGCACCCCAGCGTGCAGCCATTGCCCTTTGGGGTTCCTGACGGTGCGTTCAGGTGTGACCTGATCCAGGCGCCCCTGGCTGCCAGGGGCCCCGCGCGTGGGCCTCCGGTCAGCCTCCGTGTTGTCAGCAGGCGCCCGCAGGGCAGAGAGGGGACCCCTGTGCATCAAGGTCAGATGCCGCCCTGAGCGCTCCAGCCTGGGAGTCAGAGCCTGTTTCGCAGCCGCGTGTCCTCAGGGAGGGTGAGGGGCTGCCCGCCGTCTCCGGCTGCGGACCCTCAGACCGCCCTTCACAGCACCCGAGTCAGGGCCCCCGGGCTGGGGCCCGGACCTCGAGACTGGCGCGGCCCCCCGGGGTCTAAATGCAGCCCAGCTGCGGCCCCCTGGGCCATCGGCTCGGCCCGGCACAGCTGAGCGGCCAGGCTCAGAGCAGCAGGTGCCGGCCTTCGCTGCTCGGTGGGAGGCGGGCCCAGGACCGAGGGCTCCCACCAGTGCAGCCAGGCCATCCCCACGGCACAGGTCCAGACCCCCAAGGTCTCCTCCCTCGGGGCTGCTTTGCTCCCGGGCAGGCTCCTGGCTTTGAGCTACTGTTTCCTCAGCCCTTGGGACCTCAGTGGGGACCCAGGGAGGCCCTAAAGGGTCCTTGAGGCCTGAGCCTGCAGACACGCCGACTGCCTGCAGAGCAGAGGTGGGCGGGCAGAGCTCTGGGGTGCAGGTTACACGGGATGCTGTGCACGTGGCACCCAAACAGGCTGTGGCCTGCTTGGCAGGCAGCATGGCCAGAAGCCCTGTGGGAGAGGGGACCGCCTGTCCCACGGCTCAAGCAGGGAGAAGGTGGTGGAGGCTCCAGGGTAGATTCTGGCCCCACAGAAGGATCCTGCTTTGGGTTCCACTGACAGGATGGAAGCTTCGGTGTTCAGAGCAGTCTCTTGAGGCACTGAGCTCCCCATCACTGGAGGCATGCAAGCAGAAGTTGACTTTTCAGAGCAGAGGCTGTGGAGGGCAGTTAATGCTTGGACGGAGGAGTAGGTGGGCTGGGAGCAGCCCCCACCCCGGCCCTCAGTTCTGATTTCTCGTAAGCTACGACAAGATAAAGGGATGTGGCTGAGTGTGGCCTGCACCTCTGTCCTCCGCGCCCCGCTCTGGGGACAGTCAGTCCCTTCCAGCATGGACAGGTGTATGCTGCAGACGCCGCCCACACACTGAGGCGCACCCATCCTCACGCACAGGCCCTGGTCTCCCCCCTCCCCCCACACACACCATACGAGGCAGCTCCCCATTTTACAGATGAGGAACCTGAGGCTCTGACGGCTTGAGTGACTCGCCAAAACGGCCAGGATCCAACAGCAGAGGGAGCATTGCAACCACGTCCGCCCGACCGCAGACCCCTGCAGGCTCTGTCGGGACAGGGTGGAGCGGGTCCCGGCCACGGCCCCCCGGCCCGGCCCTCCGGCCGCAGCCTCCGCCCCAAGTTTTGTCCTCCTTGGGCCCAGGGCGCAGGTCAGCCTGGGGGGACCTGGCGCGAGGTTGGAGACGCTCTTCGGGCAGAGAGATAATGTCCAAGGGGAGCGAGGGACCAGCGCCAGGGAAGCCAGTGGCCTCTGGGGCTCTGGCCGAGGAGCTGCGGGAGGAAGGCGGCTTTATCTCCTGCAGAATTAAATCCCTGATTAACCCTTATCTCCCCAGCGGGCGCTATCTGCGCCTTGGCGCCGAGTGTCCAGACAGACCGTACACGATGATTGATTTCTTAAAGATACGCACGCCTTTCCGATACTCCATTTATTGTCTAAATATTTTTGCTAACATTTCAGCGGGCCCCTTATCGAGCTCAGCTGATGGGCCCCAGTTCCCTCCCCCACGCGCCTCCCGCCCCACATCACCCTATCAGCCGCCAGGCCGCTTGTCTCCGCCGTTTGGGGGGGGGCACCGGTGGGGTGTGAGGACCCTTCCCCCCCGGCTTTCTTAGGCCCGGGGCGGCTGGCAGGTGGGAGTGGGGAGCAGGGTGATGGTCTCCACACTCACAGGACTCTGGGGGTGGACCCCAGGGTGTACACAGAGTGAGTGCACAGAGCCTCCAGGGGTCGGGTCAGCAATGGTTCCTGGGCTAGTTTGCTCTGTGACCTTGGGCAGATCCCTCCCTCATCCAGCTGTGGCTCCCACGGTCCAGGGCTCGGAAACCCAGCCAGCTCCCCAGTTTGCAGTCAGATACCAAAAACCTGTTCAGGGTGGATGGGTGGGTGGATGATGGCGGACGGGTGATGGACGAGGGGTGAATGAATGAATGACCGGATGATTGAATGAACAAGTGAATTCTCAGCCCCAGCCTGGCCTGCGGTGGCTCAATCCATCTGTCTGTCCAGCTGTCCCCCAGGGCTTACCCCAGGTAGCCGTGAGGCCACCAGGACATCAGTGAGACCCGGGGAGGGGCAAGGGCCTTCCTGGGTCCCTGACACCCTCCCTCCTCGCGCCTCAGTCTCGCTGCCCGCAGGTGTCGACACGGGGTCTGAGAGGCGCGGCGGGTGCAAAGGGTTGGCTCAGACCGGCCTCCTGGAGGCTCAGGAGGAGGGATGGCCTGGCCTCAGGGCCCCTGGGACACCTCCCCGTGGAAGAGGGCTGGGGGCCATGGGGGCCGCATCCCTGCTGGCCACACAGCTCCCCTCCCCTACACATACACCTCAAGCCCTTCTCAGCCTGTTTCTCTAGCACTTTCTGCCTCTCTCCTTCCATTGGTTGTTTCTTGCCAGACTCCCGACCCCAACGTCTACACTGGATGGTAGATGGACGGACAGACGGATGGATGGATGGATCAGTGGAGGGATGGGGTAAATGGATGCTGGATGGGTGGAAGGAAGGAAGGAAAGAAGGAAAGAAGGAAAAGGAGGGAGGGGAGATCATGCAGACCCTGGTTCGGTCCTGTGTACACACAGCCACTTCCCATGGCCTTGGGCATCGTTCAGCTCTGTGGGCCTCAGTCTTCATCCGTGAAATGGGTTCTTCACAGGGTCTGGTGGAGCCAAGGACAGAAAGATGGTGGCCTCTGGGAGGGTAAGCAGGACAGGGGGCAGGACTTCTCGGGATGAGCTGAAGGGAGGAGGTGGGTGGCCGCCCGAGTCAGAGCCCAGCCCGGGCCTGCCCCAGCCCTGACCTCCCACGGACCTGCCCTACAGCGGCCCCGGGGGAGGCCCGGGCAGCCCACTGACCTCGTGCAGAGCAGTCCACAGTCTGGCCAGGCTTGGGAGCAGCCTCAGCGGATGCGGCAGAGAGTTTCTGATGGTTCTCGGCAGGCACGGAAGCCACACACTCCCCTCTCTGCTGGGGGAGATGAGCAGTGGTCTCAGACGCACCCAGAGAACTTGCAGAGGCCGCCCGCCCTCTGGGGGCTGCGTGGGGCCGCCCTGCAGCCGGTGGGGGCGGGCAGGACCCGGGGGCGGCAGGCAGTGTGGGCGGGCCTGGACACGGCCCGTCCAGGGTGAGCTGGGCACGGACGCGGCACCAAGCCTGGGGGCGTCGTGCAGGGAAGGCAGCCGAGGGCATGCGGGTCTCTGGTGCCTTTGGCCGAAGGGCCAGGCCAGGGAGTTACAGGTGTACAGGTCGTCCCTCCTGGGCTTACACCCCATTTCAGCGCCCACGGGCGGGGCCGGGCAGGGCGGGTCAGGAACAGGGCCAGCCTCGGCCCAGCGCCTTCGAGCACCAGAGAAGGGGGCGCTGTTCCACGGCTGCTCGGAATTGGAGGGGAAGGGGGAGAAAGCAAGCCAGTAGCCGGGCGGCCGGGTGCCGTGTCCGCCCTCCACAGGGCGCCGGCGGGGCAGGCAGGGGGCCGTGGTGGGTGGCGCCCCTGCAGCTCTGGGACGCCCGGCGGGGAGCCCGGCAGGGAGGCCAGGGACGCTGTGTCCCCAGCCGCCCCCGTGTAAGTCGGGGGCCGGGCCCCTGCCCCTGCTGAGGGGTCCAGGGCCAGGCCGGGCTGGGAGTCGGTGCGAGGCCCCGGCGACCCGGCCCCCGGGGCGGCCAGCAGCACGCAGGCGCTCGGCACCGCGGGCCCGGGCAGCGCCGCCTCCGCTCGGGGAAGTAGCCGGGGAGCGGGGGGTTCTGCAGCGTCAGCACAGCCGTGCGCGTTTTTATCGTGCCGGGAGCACGCTGCTCCAGCGAGCGATAAGCGTTAAACCTACCGGCAGGCTGTCAGTCTCAGTTTGAGGGTTAGAAATATTGGGACGAATAATTAGATTTCATATCGTTACCACAGCGCCAATCGGAGGATCAGGCAGATTAATTTTTTTCACCCTCCTCGGCTCATTAATATTCATTAGAGACTCGGGAGGCCCAGCCCCCCCCGGCCGCGAGCTGCTGGCCAGGTCAGCGCGGCTGGGACACCCCGCCTGGCCGCTGAGCCCCCCGGCCACCCCCAGCAGGAGGCCTGCCCTGCAGCTGGGGTCCCCGAATGTCTGCTAACAGCAGGGTGCTGCCGGCTTTCCCTAAGTTGACAGGTGGCACGTGCTGGCCTGGGGCCCCCGGAGGACCCCTGCCTTCTGGGCCTACACGCACGGTCCTGCTGACCAAAGGGGGGCGGGGCCCCCAGGTCCTGTGCGGTGGCTGTGCCCCAGGTGGGCGTGCTGGAAGGGACGGTTCCGTGCGCGTCGATACCTCCCCGTCCTGGAGGGGCTCAGCTCCGGGGGACAGGCTCTGCCACCCGCCCCCGGCCCCGAGAGCAGGTGTCAGGGCAGGCCGGGTTGGAGCCAACGCGTGGTCCGAGTCACGGCTCCAGCAGAAGGGGCACCACCTGGCGGCCAGTCTCCCCCCGGCCCCTTCTGTGGCCAAGCCACAGAGCTACTCCCCTGGCCAAGGCGCCCCGGCCCCGTTGGGAGTGGTGCCCAGGTGTGCTGGGCTCTTAGGCCTCATCGCGCCAGGTCCCTGAGCCTGCCGCAGGGTGGGGACGAGAGGGCAGAGGGGTCAGCGGGACCCCTCGGGCTGCAAGCTGGTCCTGGGCTCACAGTCACAGTGGGGGAGGCCCGGCCTAGGCCCGCGGCGTCCCGGGCGGGGAGGCGCCCACAGTCTGCCAGAGGCCACCTCTCACACCATCGCCAGGGCAGGACACCGTGGCAGCGCCTGGCCGCCTGTGGCGTTCCCCGGGGCGCACACAGCCACCCTGGTCTAGGTGGCATTTCCAGGTGGCAGCACGTGACACAGGTTCTTCAGGTAAAGGTCCTGATGCGTGCATTTCTGAATGCAAGCCACTTACCTGCATAAACCAAAAATACCCACACGTGGACACGTGCTGTGGCTTTCCGTACAGCGCCAGCGGCTGAGCGGGGGTGCCCCGGTCAGAGCAGCCACCCCGGCCTTGCAGGGCAGAGCCGGGCCCGGGTTCGGCCCCCCGGCCGCGCCCCACAGTCTGTGCCTGGCCGCTCCGTCCTGTGACGGGGGCTGGCCTCCCGGGCCCAGGCCGGGTATTTGCTCTACGGCCGCAGTGGCCCGGGTGCCGGAAACCCCGCAGCCCCTCGGAAGCCGCCTCCCTGGTGAGGCGAGCACCCCCCCCTGCCCAGGCGCTGCAGTGGCCCGGCCTGCAGGCTGCACCAGGGACAGCATGGCTGGGCGAGGCGGTGCCAGCGTGCACGGTCCCCGCTCTCCCCGCCCCCCGCCCCCCCCTCGAGTGAGAGAACGGAGCTGCCCACCTTCCAGGCTGACAGGCCATTTGGGGGCCGGTGTGGGAGGAACGTGTGCCCGTCCTGGCCCGTGACCCCATGGGCTGCCCCGTGACACTCAGCCGACTGCCAGGGAGGCAGGGAGAGAACACAGATCTGGGTGTGAGTCCCTGCTCTGCGGCACCCTGGCTGTGTGACCTCGACCAAGTGGTTTGACCGCTCTGGGCCCGTTTCCAGGAGAACCCGCTGTCCCCGCGTGGACAGGGCCGGCTCCCTGCTGCGTCTGTCGGCAACACAGTGCTGACCCAGGAGCTGCGCGCGGGCTGTGGCCTGGCCGCCCCGCTGGATTCAGGCTCTTCCCTGCATGCCATGCGGGACCCCCACCCGGGCCCATCCTGTGCCGCCCCTGATGAGCCCCCTTCCCCCCCAGGGCCCCGCCCTGACCCTGCTGCTGGAGGAGGAGCCCTGCTGGCTGAGGATGCTGCCGCAGGTCCCGGCCGAGGCCGAAGCCAACGCGGAGATCTACAGGAAGGGTTGGTATCCTGGCGCTTCCCTCGCGGCCTTCCGGCAGTGGGGGGGTGGGGGGGCACTTGGCTGGCCCTGGACTGGCCCTTAAAGGGAAAGCGGCCTTCTTGGGCTGCTCGGGGCCGGGCCTTGGGTCGGGCCACCGCTGCCGCCACGCCCCCAGCGCCCTGATTACAGACGTCGGGCCTGGGGTCTTGGGGACCTGCCGCCCTTCCTGGGCCCAGGCAGTGACTGCTCTCAGGGGCTCTGGGAGACCACCGGGGTCAGCATAGGGCCCAGGCCAGGTGGGCCACAGTGCCGACTCGACCAGGGCCCCGTGCAGTCCAGCTTCCTCTGGGGGAGAGGAGGGCCACGTTCAGACCCAGCCACGTGGGGCCTAGGCCACATCCCCTGCCCTTCTCAGGCCTCTGTTTCTTTGCAAGACTAAAGGCCCAGCCAGGCCTGGCAGCTTCTGCTCCTGCCTCCCTGCACCTTCTAGAAGGAGTGGCCTGAGAAGGAGGAGGGGAAGCAGGAAAGGGTCCTCACCACCCCCCACCCCTTCCCGGTTCAGAGAGCTCAGGCCATCCAGACGAGACCTGGGGCTTCCACCTCCTGCCTGGGTGTGTGTGGATCACACAGCAAAGTGTGGTGCGGTCGTCCATGTGTGTGAGGACCAGCTTGTCAGGGCAGCAGGGCCCCTCCCTCCGCACTGCAGGCGAGGAGGCTCAGGGGGGCCCAGGGGCTGACGTAAGCAGAGTCCAGAGGGGTGTGTGCCCACTGGGAGGGGCGCGTGCCCACTGACCACAGGAAGCGACACATTCCCCTGCGGGGTCCCCACTTGCCAGGACTTCCCAGGGCGGCACACAGCACGCTCTGCTGCACCCCCTGTGGAGGCCAGGCTCCGTCCTCAGGGGCAGCTCTCATTTCAGGAAGGGGCCAGAGGCTGTCAGGGGCGGGCAAGGGACACGCGCCCAGCCCGGCAGAGCCTGCGGGCAGCCCCTCGCTCCTGTCCTCACCTGGGAGCCTCCCTGGCGTGATGGAAGGACAGCACAGGTGCCGAGCCCACATCCGGGAACCAGGCCACGCTTCAGCCTTCTGTGGTCCTGGGGGGACCCCAGCCGCCTCCCACCGAGGAGTTCTCTCAGGCCCCAGACAGCAGCCGAAAGGCACTGGAAGGCCCCATGTTGGCAGCAAGCAGTCAGCCCTGGGTTTGTAAACCCAGCCAGGACGTGGGCCAGTTAGCTCAGCCTGGCCAGGCAGGAGGGGCAAGGTCCTCACGGTGCGGATGGGAGCGAGGTTGCCTGGGGGGTGGGGGGCGGCCTGCGCCTCCCTGGAGGTTTCCGGGGTAGCAGGTAAGCGCGCTGGTGCCTGGGTCGTTGGTAGAGGCTGCCCCCTGCCGGCCACCGCAGGAACAGCCGCTTCTGGCGGACCTGCGAGGAGCAGGTGAGGAGCACGGCCACCCCGGCGCTCTGCTGCCCGCCCCACAGGCCACCCCTCTCCTGGAAACCAGGGCGGCCGTGCTAGCCGCCTTCAGGGCCCTCCCGCTAGACAGGGAGGGGGCAGGCCTGGGGAGCCCCCCAGTGGCCCCATCACAGAGACCGGCTTCACACAGCCACGAGCCCCGGCCGTGGCTCGGCGCCCCCTCCAGCCCCGCCCCAGGCCAGACCTCGAAGCCCTGGTCTCTGAAAGGGGGCAGGAGGGTGGGGCATCTGCTCAGAGGGCCGGCCGGTGGCCCTCCCGTCACCCAGGACTTTGCCCCTGCAGATGAAGCCCTCTGGTGCAGACTCACCAAGCCGGTGCCCGCCGGCGGATTGCTGGGGGTGCTCCTCAGTGCGGCTGAGCCCCGTGGCACCCCCAGCCACCCCGTGAAGAAGGAGCCGGCCGAGCCCGAGTGCCTGGCCCCCTGCCACAGCGACATCCAGCTCCTGCCCCAGCAGGCCGGCATGGCGTCCATCCTGGCCACAGCGGTCATCAACAGTGAGTACGCCACCGGGCCACCCCAGCTCCGTGGCAGCGCAGGGACACCCCCCAGGACCTCAAGGCCCACAAAGATTGGCTACCGCTACGATCTAAGCAGAGGATGTGCTGTGATGGACAAGTGCAGGAGAGCTTGAATGGGGTCCAGGAAGGGGGACGGGGGCAGGCCCCACCCCAGGAAGCCCACCCATGCTCTTCCCCACAGCCAGGCGGGAAGCAGGGCCCCTCAGAGTCTCTCGAGCAGAGGCCGTGCCCGCAGGGGCACCAGCCTGGCCCCTGGCCCAGAGAGGCCACGGCCATGGCTCCGTGTACCCCTAGGCACAGCCGCCAAGTGAGAATACCCGGGGCGGCCTGTCCCTTGCTCCCAGCCAGGACGCACTGAGCCGCGGTGTCACTGTGAGCATTAAATAGGATTTACTCCACATGCTCATCAACATCCACACTGAAGCAAGTGGTCCAGGCTCTGGGGTCACTGAGTGGGGGTCCCAGCCTGCCCCAGGGGCACGGCCACCCCAGGAAGGCACAGGCAGCTGGGGGGTGGGGGTGGGGGGACTCCAGCACAGCGCATCTGATGGAAGTGAGGGTGGCAGCACCTACTTTAACTGGGGTGCTTGGGCCGAGCCCAGCAAGGTCGTCGCGTGTCTCAGGCGCAGCACACACAGGAGGCAAGCGTCTCCAGCAGAGAACTTTTATTTAGCAAAGGCTAGGACCCAGATGCCCCATTGTCCTGCTGCCAGGGGAGCTGTAGGGCTGCGAAACTGGGGAAATTCTGAGGAAGTCCAGCGTGATGAAGGCTTGAGGCCGGTGGAAGCAGCCAAGGCACAGGCCACCTGGGGGCCCTGAGGCACCAGGGACCTGCCACGTGGGGTGGGCTTGGGGTGGGGCGAGGGGGCACCAAGTACATGGCCAACTGCACGTTGCTGGGGGAGCCCGTGAGCATCCTGACCAAGAGATCTCATGGACACTACAGTGGGCCCTGGGGGGCCACGGGCCGGGACGAGGGCAGGAGGCACCAGCCGAGGACCGTGGGGGCCCACCGTGTTCTGGCCACGGACCAAAACCACCAGGGCTAAGCGAGTAGGCTGTGAGGAGGGTGTGGAGGGACACGGTCTGCATTTCTGGGACTCAGGCAGACTCGCAGCACGTCTACACCCTGGGGCAAGTGGCCCAGGATGGGGGCTGAGCCCCCAGAGCCCTCATGAAGTGAAGGCTTGGTGCAGGGGACGGAGAGGGTGGCCATGAGTGAGCAGGACCCCGTCCAGTCACCGAGCTTTCAGGGGAGAAGGGAGGGGCCCTTGGGGCCAGGAAGGCCACCCCACCAGGACACCTGGTGCCCACGGTGGCACATCAGGGTCGGTCAAGTCCTCGGCACAGAGGGGTGAGTCCCCCCTCCTCCGTCCAGGCTGCTCCGATGGGCTCTGGGGAGGCCCAGGTCCTGGGAGGCTTCCTCCCCTTGCATCTGTGGCCGGGGTGTCAGAACCTCACCCTGAAACAGCAGGGGCTTTGCCACCATGCACTAGACCCCTCGCTTACACCCCCAGCCCCCACACGGGCCTCTCCAGCTTGTGGCCTAGAAAAGCCTCAATACAGAATCCGTGAGACGTGCTTTATTTCTTGAGACTCAACCCCTCTGGGCCTGTGTTCTCACCTGCGAGGCGGAGGTTCTGGAAACAGCAGGCGTCTGGGCAGGTCAGCCCCGGGGTGGTGGAACCGTGACCATCCGCACTGAACCGGGGCGGGGCAGGCCGCTGAGGCCCCGGCCCCACGGGCACAGGACCAAACCCACCAACCCAGTGACCCTGCTAACAGAACAGAGGTGCCTTGAAACCCCCACACGGGAGGGAACTTGAAAGGGAGGAGGAGGACTCCCCCTGCTCTGCCCTGGAGGCCCAGGGGAAAGCTCAGAGAAGCGGGGGTGAGGGACGCGTGCTGCCCCCAGCCTCACCCTACCCGGGAGGCCGCCCGGGCAGCTCAGCTGTCGCACTCCTGCCCACGTGTTCAGAGGTTCACGCACGGGGGCTCCCTGTGCACCTGGCCACGCCTGCCTGCTCCTGTGAACACACGTGTGTTCCTCCGCCACGGCGCCCAGGCCTACACCATCCCTCACGCCCCCACACAGCCGCCCGCAGCAACGTCCCGCAGGCATATGGCCACGCTCCTTCCGTGGACACCCGATGAGGCTACGGTGTGTCTTCTGGGGCTCACTGATGGGAGGCAGCATGGGGGCCAGCCTGGGGGGTTACTCAGCCCCGCCCACGCGGTCCCTTGGCATCCTGGACATCTACAGGAGAACCCAGGTTTATAAAAGGACAGAGGAGAATGGGCAGCAGTGACCAGGAGAGAAGGTTCAAGTCACAAACCTTACTTGGGATGTCAGCGGGGGGGGGCGGGGGCAGTCAGGGCAAAGCCCTCATTGTCTGGAGGTCCACTCCTTGCCTGGACGGCGGGCAGCCCCCTTCAGGCTGAGCCCACTTCTCACCCCCGCAGAAGACATCTTCCCCTGCAAAGACTGTGGCATCTGGTACCGGAGCGAGAGGAACCTGCAGGCCCACCTCCTCTACTACTGCGCCAGCCGCCAGACCACCGGCTCCCCCGCCGCAGCCACCGACGAGAAGCCCAAGGAGACGCACCCCAACGAGCGCATCTGCCCCTTCCCCCAGTGCCGCAAGAGCTGTCCCAGCGCCAGCTCCCTGGAGATCCACATGCGCAGCCACAGCGGTGAGGCCCCGCCCCCCTCCCCTCCCGGGCCGCCCCGCCCCCTGTGGGCCCGTGTGGTCCCCCTGCACACCGCAGGGTTGCTCCCAAAGCACGTGGCCCACCTGTGATCATCAGGATGGTCAGCTGGCGGCAGGGCCCTTGCCGAAGTCCCAGGAGACCACGGGCAAAGGAGGCAGGGCTTTAACCCACCCCCACCCCCGTCACATCCTAAGTCCCTGGGCAGCCGGGCTCCGCGGCCCAGCCCTCACTCAGCCTCGTGCTCCAGGAGAACGCCCCTTCGTGTGTCTCATCTGCCTGTCAGCCTTCACCACCAAGGCCAACTGTGAGCGGCACCTCAAGGTGCACACAGACACGCTGAGCGGTAGGTGGGGCCTGGGAAGGGGATGGGGGGGGGCACTCCACCCCAGGGCCCTGATACCACAGCCTGCCTGCAGGTGTCTGCCACAGCTGTGGCTTCATCTCCACCACAAGGGACATCCTCTACAGCCACCTGGTGACCAACCACATGGTCTGCCAGCCGGGCTCCAAAGCCGAGATCTACTCACCAGGGGCCACACACCCCACCGCCAAGCTCCCCGCAGGTGAGGCCCCGGGCTCCCCATGGGGACTGGGAAGGGATGGGGTTGGCACGGAGGGCAACCGGGGGTCAGTTTCATTCTTGGCCCTCCACCACCTCTACCCAGCCCAGCTCTCCCCTTCCCACCCCACCCCTCCTCAGGTCTGGCCCAGGTAGGTCCTGCTCCAGCCCTGAAGTGTGGCCCCTGGGGTCTCCCTGCAGACAGTCTGGCCAGCTTTCAGCAGCACACGGCCCTCCATGGCCCCCTGGCTTCCACCGACCTGGGCCTGGCGCCCACCCCATCGCCAGGACTGGACAGGAAGGCTCTGGCTGAGGCCACCAATGGAGAGGCCAGGGCGGCCCCGCAGAACGGGGGCAGCAGCGAGCCTCCCACAGCCCCCAGGGCCATCAAGACAGAGGCTGTGACAGACGAGCCCGAGGCAGAGCCAGGGCCCCCGGCCGCACCGAGGACCCCCTCGCCACCCGGCCCTGCCCCTGCCGGGGTGAAGGCGGAGCTGTCCAGCCCCACACCGGGCTCCAGTCCGGGCCCTGGAGAGCTGGGGCTGGCGGCCGGCGCGCTCTTCCTGCCGCAGTTCCCCGCGGCACCCCCAGCCTCAGAAATCCTGGCCAAGATGTCGGAGCTGGTGCACAGCCGGCTGCAGGCGGGCGCCGGGGCACAGGCCGGCCTCTTCGCAGGGGCCCCCAAGGGCGCCACGTGCTTCGAGTGCGACATCACCTTCAACAACGTCAACAACTTCTACGTGCACAAGCGCCTCTACTGCTCCGGCCGCCGCCCGCCTGACGACACGCCCCCAGCGCGCAGGGCCAAGGCCCCCCCAGCACCGGTCCGTGCGCCCGCCGGCCCGCCGCCCCCCGAGGCCGACTCAGGGCACGCATCGCCGAGCTCCGGGGCGCGCGAGGACGAGGCAGGGGGCGCGGCCACACCCGAGACGGAGACCGAGGCCGAGGGGGGCAGCCGGGGCCGGGAGGGCAGCCCAGGCAGCCCCAGCCCGGGCGGGGGGGCGGACGAGGACGACGACCCCCGCCGGACGCTGTGCGAAGCCTGCAACATCCGCTTCAGCCGCCACGAGACCTACACGGTGCACAAGCGCTACTACTGTGCTTCGCGCCACGACCCGCCGCCGCGCCGGCCCGCGCCCGCCGGGACCCCCGGGACCCCCGCGCCCGCGGCTCCGGCCTTGCCCGCGGCGCCGCCCGTGCGCACACGCAGGCGCCGCAAGCTGTACGAGCTGCACGCGGCCGGCCCCGCCCCGGCCCCGCCCCCCGCCTCCGGCCCCGCCCCCGCGCCCCTCGGCCCCGCCCCGGAGCCGCTCTCACCCCGGCCCGGGAGCGCGAGCGGGCGCGGGCTCGACGCCACCGACGGCCCCATCGACTTGAGCAAGAAGCCGCGGCGCCAGGCGCCTGTGCCCGCGCCCGGCCTGCCCGCCCTGGCCGACTACCACGAGTGCACGGCCTGCCGCGTGAGCTTCCACAGCCTCGAGGCCTACCTGGCGCACAAGAAGTTCTCGTGCCCCGCCGCCCCCCGCCTCCTGCGCGCCGCGCCCGAAGACGCGCCCGCCCCCGCCGTCGTGTGCCCCTACTGCCCGCCCAACGGCCTGGTCCGCGGCGACCTCATCGAGCACTTCCGCCTGGCGCACGGCCTGCTGCTGGGCCAGCCCCCCGCCGGCGCCCGGACACCCTCGCCCCCCGCCCCCCGCGACGGCCTCAACGGCCGGGAGCTGCGGGAGCCGGCGCCCGGCGCCCCCGACGGCAGCCCCCGGCCCGGCCCGCCGCCCGCCCCGTCCCCGGAGACGGTGCCGCCGCAGCCCCCGCCCCCGCCGCCGCCCCCTTCCCACTCGGACAAGGGCGTCCAGACCCCAAGCAAGGGGACGCCAGCGCCCGCGCCCCCCGGCAGCCACAGGTACTGCCGCCTGTGCAACATCAGGTTCAGCAGCCTGTCCACCTTCATCGCCCACAAGAAGTATTACTGCTCCTCGCACGCGGCCGAGCACGTGAAGTGAGCGGCCGCCACACTACAGACGGAGGCCGCGCGCGGGGGCTGCCGGACCGCGCCGCCGGGACTATTGGCACTTAATAAAGAGGTTCAGTTTGATGAGCACAGTAGTGGAGCCACCGAGTTGTCTGAGCACAGGGGCCCTGGGGCCGGGGGGAAACGCGCGGGGCCAACTCTGTGGGTGTGGTCTGCGCACCCAGCACCACCGTGAGCTCACGCATGCGCCCCTGCAGCCCACCATGAGCAGGCCCCCAGCCAGAGTCTCGGGGTTCGTGGGGCTCCAAGCGGGACCCGACCCCAGGCCAGTCTGATGCCGCAGCACGCCCTGGTAAGAGCTGCCCTCCGGGATGCCAACAGGGGAGGCCGAAGCTCTGTGGTCGCCAGGGCTGGTGGGGAGAGAAGGGATGATGATGCGTACCTGCGGGGCGGGGGGGGGGGGGGGGAGAGAACCAAGGCCACTGCAATCAGGGGGCCCCAAATCCTGCAGTGGGGGCGTCGCATGGCAGCTGGGGTTGCTACAGCACGTGTGAGCCAGGAGCCCCCACCCAGTGTGCGGCGCCGAGGCCGGGGCCGTGAGAACCGCACAAGGCAAGGTGGGACCCGCAGGGTGCTGGGCCAATCCCAAGCAGCGCCCAGCCACGTCTTGCCAGTTTGCGGCTGGGTGGCTGCCGGCGCCCTGCAGCCTGGTGTCCCTGCTGGAGAACCCCCATCGGCCCTTTCCCACCCTTGCTTGAAGCAGCAGCCTTTCTTCCAAATCCGGTTTCACCCAGCAGCCTCTGGTGGAGAGACGCGAACTCTGACCTCTGGCCTTCCCGCGTCCAAGGTGCTTCCTGCCACCTGCCCAGGTCCCCCTCCCTGCTCTAGGCACGTTTCTCTGCCACCCAGCCCTTGTGCGGCCAAGGAGCCTGTGTGGGCGGCGGCGTGCACAGGCCCCTCCCAGGTCCTGGGGACGGTGCCGGACGGGACAGGGCTGCTCAGCCCAGGGCCCTGCGGTCGGAGCTCCCACCCCTCGCAGGGCTGGCTCTAGGGAAGTCGGTTGAGGGAGGGCCCCAGGGGAGCCAGCAGCCTCCCTTGAGGACGCCCTGGCACCTGCCATCCTGGGCTGGGTGGGGCGATGCCCACGACCCCTCAGCCCGGCTGCTCATTTGCACTGTTGCGCATGAACTTGCATGGAGATCTCCAGAGGCCTCGCCTCCAAGTCAGACTACTGAGCGAAGGCAGACGTTACCCGTGTCCGCGTATACTGTCATTAAAAAATTAAACCTAATGCAGAATGAATGCCACGGTGTGTGCATTGTAAAACGTGTTAGAAGGGTGCTGGGGAATGCCAGGGACGAAAACGCATGCTACAAGGGGAAAGCAGCAGCACAGACGGCGAGATGGGGGGGCAGGCACGCAGAAGCCTGGCTGGGGCCACACCGAAAGGGCCTTGGTGTCTGCCTGTAGGGGGGGGGGGGGAGCTGTGCTCCCTCACCCTGAAGCCGGGCTTGGCGCCTCCAGGCAGCACCACATGCACCTCCTTAAGGTCCTGCCCGTGGGTCCTGGGTCACATCACCCCCACTGCTCTCCCAGCACAGGCCCGTGTGGTCCAGTGTCCCCAGTCCCAGGCGCTCCCCCCATTCCCCCTCACCCCCCTCACCCACTGCTTCCAGACCAACTGGGGCGCCTGGCAGGCTCTCCCTCTGGGGACGGCTGCTGTCTCCATGCCTCCAGTCACACCCTGCCCGACGGACCAGCCACCGCCCCGGCTGCCACGGAGCTTCCCACTGTGGTGCTCGGGTGGGCGAGCGGCCACTTGGCCCGACGCCCCGCCGCGGGCTTTCAGGCGCTCCTGCCACAAAGAGGCGGCCCCCAGGCCCCGGGCCGCCGGCACGCCCCACGGCATGCTCTGGCTGGCACCTCGCCGGCCAGGGTCTGCTCCCCGGGGAGGGCTGCCCCTCACGTCACACACCTCTCAGCTTAGGGACCTGGCCTGACCCTCCAACCTGACGCCCTGTCGTTTCCCCCACAACGGTGGTCACTCTTGGGACCCTGCCCCCTCGCGCCTCCCCCCACAGGCCCTGCCTGCCTTGCCCTCTGCCTCCCGAGCACCTGCCATCTGGCCTGGCACTGGCAGGGGCACGCAGGCCGCTGACGTCACAAGGAATGAAAGACGAGCAATCAGGTGAGTGAGCCCCAACACCAGCCCCATCTGTCCACACCCGGGACGCCTTCCAGATCCTGGTCCCGTTCTGCTGCTGGTCTGCCTTCGCTGCCCCCCGCACCTCACCAACTGCTTCTGCCCGGAGCCGGCTGTGACCAGGCGGTGCCCTACCACACAGGTCCTTGGCACATGCTGCACATGGCCCCATCCCCTCCTAACGGGCCATCCACCCAGGCCATCGCTATCCACTGTCCCTCGCATCCCACTGACCATCGCCGGCTGCCGGCACGCCCAGTGAGGGGGAGGGGAGAGCCTGACTCTGGGAATTGCCGCTGGCGGACACCCCTGACGCCAGGGGTCAGCAGTGCCTGGTTTCCATGGGCCAGCAGGTCGGGCAACAGGAGCTTGCTGCCCTATCAGGGGCTCCAGCCCGGCCCAGTCTGACAACCCTGAGTCCCCCCAGCAGGGGCAGGGAGGAGCTGGAGGGAGACAGGTGGGGTGGGACGGAGCCCGGGAGGGGAGGGCCCAGGCTGGGGCAGGGCCTCTGGGGAGGGGGAGCACCGGAGAAGGCGGGCCACGTGGGAGGTATGGCTGGGGGACTTGCCGTGACATGAGCGACCCCTGTGCTGGGCGCATACACACCCTCGGCCGGCCAGCCTCCCATCTGCCGCCAGGGGCGCCTCTGAACCCAGGGCCCCAGCCCTGCCCGTGGGCCCACCCCTCACTGCAGGCAGCAGCTCCCTGTGCCCCCCCTGTGCAGCCAGAGCCAGCCTCTCTCTCCTCCCGCAGCCACCCCGCCGCCGCTGGGGGCCGGAGAACACCCCTGAGGCAGGGCCCTCCCTGCAGGGCTGGAGCAGGCCCTGGCCCAGGAGTCTGCTCCCGAAGAGCCTTCTCTGCAGGTCTGAGTAATGCACACACGGCAGGTGCTCAGAACCGGCTAGCCCCTTTCTTCTTAGCCTGACAGGGGCCTTTGTCACGCATGCAGGGAGGTGGTGGGGAGGGGACAGGCCCAAGTGTCAGCCCTTCAAAAACTGGGGTGGGGCGATGAGGCCACCCCGCCCTCCACGGAGCCCACACGTCCCAGCACCCCAGCCTGCGGCCATCATCGGCTGAGCCTCCAGAAGCCCCGTCGACCAGCATGGGGCGGGGCAGGGGGGACAGCAGCTCCACCCACAGACCTGGAAGGGAGGGACCCCCTAGGCCGAGTGGGGCGCCCCTCCCATCCCGAAGTACAGTCTCCGCAGGAAACAGCCTCCTAAGCCTCCAAGCACTGCTCATCGAGCTGTTTGAGGTGCCAGAGTGCACTTCCTGCCCGTTAATGCCCCGCGGGGACAAGCCCCCCCACCCCCGTGGGTGTTAGACTCCAGACCCCGTCAGGGTAGCCAAGACCCTCTCAAGGCCTCACCGTGTTGGTTAACGGCTGGGATCTGCTAGCGGCCACGCCACCGGAGAGCGGGCTCCTGGACAAATGCGCTCGTACGGGGGGGCGGGGCCTCCCTCCCGCGACTGCTGGGTTTGCAGGCGGCTCTGGGCCAGCGGGGGGCTCGCTCTCAGGGAGCAGCAGCTCCTGCAATCACAAGTGTGGCCGTGGCCCACGGCCTGTCACTGCCCACCTAGTGGCTGTCACACGCGTCCCCGGACTGTACAGGGGGCATCGTGACGCAGACCTAACAGCCTGAGCACCTGGTGCCCGTGCCACCCAGCCGGCCCGGGGAGGCCACACGCTCCCCGGTGCAGAACAGACACAGAAGCGGCTTGAACGCCGCCACCAGCCTCCGCGTGTCCGCGCACCACAGCCCAGGGGCCCTGCTGCCACCGCGCCAGGGAAGGCCGGCCACCAGGGCCGTCCACTGCACACCTTCCCGAGGTCAGAGGCCAGATCAGTGGAAGTTAACAGAGAACTAGAAACTGAAACTCGAAACTTTATGCATACCGAGACCCAAAATATTTTACAAGCTTTGTTCAGCAGGAGGAATGCAGGGGGCCGACGGGCTGGCTGTGTGCACCAATTATGCGCCGCAGAAGTGCAACGACGCGCCATACTTCCAAGGACTCCAAACACATAACCTTGTACAACCACAGAATCCGAGGAGCAAACTTCTCAGAGACACAGGTGACCTGGACGGCCCTGCCAGGGCTGCCCAGCACCCACCTCGCCAAGCCCATCGGAATCAAAGCGGAGGCTTCCCGGTCACGGGAGAGCCGAGCCCCTCAAGGCATAGGGCAAACCCCTTGCCCTGCTCACGTGGGCTGCTGTGTGAGACCCACCCAGTCTCTGTGACCGCCGCACGGGCCCAAAGCCATGCCAGGTCGCTGTGGTCTCCCGGGTCTGTCACTTCTTCCACCACAGCAACCCAGATGACCCGAAGCCATCCCCAGCACGGAGGGGCCCCGCCAGCCCCAAACCCAAGAAATTCCCAGCAGCCCTCAGACCAACACTTGGGATTCCATCCTTAGCTGCTCTCCGGTCAGGCCCGCGGCCAGCAAGGCAGCTGACCCCCCGCCCGTCCTCAGCTCAGCCCAGACAGAACCCTCCCAGACCAGGAGCACAGAACGCACTCTGAGGACAGGACTTGCTCCTTCAAGCGGACCCCCCACCCCAGCGACGAGCCCGCGAGGCCTATCCGTGGGCCGCTGTCCCCACAACGGGCACAGCTCCAGCTACCTGCTCCCAGAGGGCAGAGCACGGAGCACGGCGGGCGGAGAGGAGAGCCAGCCTGGTGCCCGGCCACTTACGGGTCAGCGGGGAGTCTGCCGCCACAGCCCATGGCCTGCCCCCCACCCTCGGCCAACACACGCTACATGGTTTCTGAGCCCGTTAGCGGGGACATGGCACCCCCTGCCTGTGACCATGGTGGCCACAGCCGCCTGGGTTATCTCGTGGTAGCAGGAGCTCCTCAGACCCATGGCTGGGGCTGCATATCCCTCTGTTTTTCCAGGCGTCCTGAATGTCACTGCACAGTC